TTTTAATTTTTTTTAAATATTTAAATTAATTAATTAAAAAAAATAAAAAATTTGTTGAAGTTTATTTTATTTTGTTTTAATTTTTTTAACATTTATTTTAATTCTTATTTTTCAAACAGCAAGAATTTGTAATAACATTTAGTTAAAATTTTTTTTTTAAATAATTATGTTAATTAAAATTTTAACATTTATTTGTATTTTTTAATACTTATTTAAATTTTTACTTTTAAACAGCGAGACTTTTTTTATTTATTTTATTTTTCTAATTTTAACTATTTATTTGTGATTATTCTTTTTTCTAGTTTCCAATATTTATAATTTTTTTTTAATTTGAGTTTTTTTTTTGTAATACATATTCCACTTAATTTTTTTTGTAAATTAATTATTTTTAATTTTTCAGTAATTATTTTAATTTAAATTTTAGTATTTTGTTCAGGTCTTTATTTTAATTTAATTAAATTATTTTTTCATTATTTTTTTGTTTAATTCCTTTTAATTTTTATTTGTTTCATACTTATGTTGATTTTTACTTTTTACCGTTTGGATATTTATTTCAATTTTATTATAATTTTTTTAATAAACACCGCACAGTTGCATAAATAATCGCAATGCACCTAAAACAATTCAAATAACAAGCAGCAATGGGGAGGAATGCCCTCAAAAAAATGCGCGCCAATTTCTGGCGTTCCCAAGCAAACACACACATACATAAAAACACAAACAAGCACATACACAAAGAAAAAAGGCAGCTTCGGCCGCTGGAGAAAACCGAAATTGAGAAATAAACAAATCAAAGTGTGGCAAAAGCAGCCAATAAGCCCCAAAGAATGGCTTAAGTATAAGAGGAGATGAACTTAGGTTGGATGCGGCAGCAGCATCCCGCTGCCACAAATTCCACTAGCAGCAGAGCAGCAACAACAACAACCACAAGTAGAACATACAGAGCTCAGGCAGCAATCGCAAAAGCTATAAAACTTCACGTTTGCTTGCTGTCATTCGTTCAGGAATGCAATCCGACAACTTTTGGTTTGCGCGCATGCGCATTGCACTCTGTTTGCCGACACACACATACACACCAAGGCAGAAACAAACAACAAACACAAACATCAATTGCCGCTGTTGCTGATGCTGCTAGAAATAATGCCATAAAACTTGCAGCAAGCAAGCTACAAAACATAAACAAGAGCTTCGAGTTGCGATGAGCCGAGCGAGTAGTGCGACGCTGCCACATAAATCGCAAAATGCATAACAGCGTCAGTGTTGCATACAGCATACATATGTGTGCGTTTGTGTTGTGGCAACGACATCCGCCGCCACCACACTCAATAAATAACACCCATACAAGACAAGAGAATGGCGCATGAATGATAATGGTGAATTGTAGAGTGTGGTGGAAATGCCATTCAGACTCTGCTAGACCGAAACAGTTTGAATTTAAAAATATTATTATAAAATGTTTATAAATTAATTATATAAAAAATATTAAACTTTTTACAATTTTGTTCGCATAATATACCGCGCTTGTAATTCTCAATAGGTTTATAAAAACCTTTAAAATTACGAAAAAACTGTGAAAGATGTATAATTTTGACTTGATTGTTGCATGAAGCACAGAATACGGCGAAAACGCCACCAACAACAAACAAATTTATGCATATAATAGCTGCGGGGTGAGTCATGTGTAGGCTTACATAGAATGAAAAGCAGGACTTTGCATGCTAAGCGCTTATTTTTCATACTTTTTGTAACTTATAGGCAGCCTGTCGTATAATAAGCCGTCAAACTATCAACTTCCTATGATAACAATGAGTTCTGCCAAACTTTTAATCAAACAGCGTGTGAAATGTGTATATATGTTTATATATATTGAGACCCGCGTAGGGTTTTCATATTAGTGTAAATTAATTGAAGCGATTAATTAGAAACCAAAATACGCCGACAAAGAGAGTGAAAAATACCATATACATATATTTTCGTCGCCAATGCTAATTCGTGGCAACACAACAATTAGTTAACTGTCAGGGCGACTATTGTTAAGGGCTAAAGGGAGAGTGAAATATCGACTACCATATATACATACAAAAATTTATGCTTAGGGCGAGCATAAAATAAGTATATAATTAATAGTTCGGCTATAAATAAAAAAAACTCACACAGAACGAAGGCGACATAATTTAGGAGTAAACTAATTTTATACGCCCAAAAAATAACGAAAATTTGGCGCACAATGCTGAAGCTTTGCCTAACATTACATTTTAACTTAAATGTTATATAAATTTCGTGCCCGCCTGAGCTGTGTTTTCACTTAAATTCCCCCCACACACAATTAATGCTATAAATATACTATGAAAAAGTATACCTCTGTCACAGAAAATCGGGGGAAAATATCTGAAAAGAAAGGTAGGTGTACGAAGACATTGCGAGATGAGTAAAAGTTCACACTTGAGCTACAAAAGTGAGTTGGCGTTCGAGCATGAAGCGCCAAATAATAATAAAAACAACAACAAATGTATATTTCAGAACTGGTCGAAAAAATGTGTAGGCTGAGGAAAAATTTATTACTATTAATGCATTTATACATTTGTGTAGGTATTATGTTGTATTTTTGCGTTGTTGTCGTTGAACTGGTGCGAGGTAGAGTTGGAAAATGGAAAAAAAATATTACTGTGTTATGCAGGTTTCAAGTAACCTTAATGAAGTGAGTGACCACCTTACTTTATTTAGGCTTATATACAAAAACTGTCAAAAAAAAAATTTTAATATAAAAAAAATTGAAAAGTATAAAAAAATATTTAAAATTCGATAAAATTTTGATAATAAAAAAAATAAAAAACTTTTCAGATTAAAAAAAAATATTTTGAGAATCTAAGAAAAAAAATGTTAAAAACATTTTTGAAAACTTTTTCAAAGACCTATTTTTACAACTCATAATTCTTAGAAACAAAATTCTAGTACTTTTGAGCTCAATAATTTATCCACCACATGGCTCTCATCACAAGTTTCAACTGCTTTAATATATAATTTATAGTCATCAAGCATACGTCACTGGGCTCAATCAAATCAATACAAGCGTGTTTGCTTCTTCCTTTTACGCGCCTTCTTCTCGCAGCAGGCACAATGCAACGCTTCCAAAAAACAAGAAAAATGTAATTATAAACAAAACGCAGCCGAAAAAGTGACTCATACGTCTTGCTTACTCAAACGAAGCCCCCAACTGTTGTCGTTTGACAAACATTTACTGTGGATTACTTCTTATTTTTTGTTTGTTAGTAGGTTTTGTTGTTGCTGCTGCTCGCTCGTACACACCGCTAAGTTTATTGCCCTTTCGGCGACATATTGACTGCACGCAAAGGATTTTTTAAATGTCATAAACGCCGCTGCTGCTGCCGTTGTGCTCGTATATTACATTGTCTTGTTGTTGGTGTTGTTGTTTTACTTCCGCTTCGCTTCGTTGTTGCTCTTTGCGCTGTTTTTTATGAAGCAAACTGAAGGTTATACTTCACAACAACTGCATGTTGTTATAATTAAATGCGCGCAGCAATTGTTGGGCGCTTCAAATGTGAAATGAAGGACACCGCAATTGAGGACGCATCAAGGAGTCTCGTCTCTACGCGCACTAAAACGTTTAGAGACTTAAATACAGTCATTAAACTTGGAGGAGGGAAGCAACAGTGCACAGCTGTCGTTGGTTATTCTGCTACACGCTGCTATCCGGCCGTTCGTCTGTCTGTCCGTTCGTCTGTGCGCTTGGCCTCATTCTGCAGCTGTTGATGCGCACTGACCAAGCTGCCGCCGCAAAGCCAAAGGTTAAGTGAAACATATTAATCGACGGCGGACACTCCAGACACTACAGCGAGAAACGAAGTCATAAAAACAAAAGAACTAAAACAACAACAAAGTATTGTGGGAGAGTCAGAGCAGAATGCGCCAGCAGTTAGGCAGGTAGTTTCCACCACACGCATGTATGTATAAATTTTTAAACAAAGAGCAGACTTTGCCCTTGTCCTGAAGACAGACACGACGCGCGGCGCAAACCTCCAGGTGCATACATACATATGTGCACAAGAAGCGTGAAATATGATGATCAAAAATGAGCAGAGCAAAATTAAATATGACCAGCAACAACTACAACCAACTACTAAGCAGACAGTCAGGGTCTACTGTATGCGTGTGGGTGACCTGTATATTATATATACATAAATAGGTGTGTTCGTGTGCATGTATTTGTGGTCAAAACTAATGAAAATGTACAAAGGACAGTGAAAAGTGATAAATAAAAATCCAATTGAAAAAGTCGAAACAACCGAGAAATTAACGAAATACAAGCGAGACATACGCACACGCACATATACAAAAGCAAACACACATACACGTGCATTTAATTTCATACGACAACGCAGGTTAATGACCCAAATTGAAATTCGTCGGTGAGGGACAAAGTTCGAAATCCGTGTGTATTAAATTTCATAAACACGCTGAATTGCATACTGTGTGTGACTGCACTAAAAATTAAGAAGAAGAAGAAGAAGAGTAAAAACGCACATACGAGAATATATGCGAGCTGACATTATGCGAAAAAACAACGAAAAGAATCAAAAATGAAATGAAAAAAATTAACGCCGACGCAATGCAGCATTAGGGTATGTGTGGGCAAGCTAAGAAGGGGGTTTCAGCTGATTTTTTTGGCACATTTTAGATATTAGACTAGACACCGACTAGAGTGAAAAGCAATAAACTAGTGCTGAATGAGTTGAAATTTAGGCTAATTGTATCCAAAAATAAAAATCATAAACTCAAATATTTATTTTTAGTAAACATACATATGTACATACATATATATATACATTTTGTCAACAAGCCTACATCGCCCAGGCTCCACTATGTGCACAGCCTTAGTGATATTGTGAAAAATATATGTTGAAAAGTATTATTTACGCAAACAAATTTTTCTTGCATTTTTATAGACAAAAATCTTCAAAATTCATGTGACACGCGAAGTTACTACATCTTTAGTGCCTCTCTCACCAACAACTAAGAGATATGCGGTACAACGAAGGTAACAACTATTATCGCATGCGGTAATGATAAACCCCAAAACTATTAGAAGACAGCTCGAAAAAATGTGTACAGTTGACACTTACAACAACAATTGTTGTTAAAATTACAACCAATAGAAAAAACAAATATATAAATATATATATACCTATATATATACACAAAATAATCTAAAAATCGGCTTAAAATCTACGAGATTTTTAAAACATTTTCTCATATCTTTTCAGCAAAACACCAACAAAGCAGACACACACGAAGCAGATAAACGATGTAGAAAAAAGAAACATTTCAGCAGCGCTACTAATGTAAAATCATTTGGAAATGCTGGAAAATAACTTACAGCTGCAAAGAAGGGGCGAGCGCAGCATTTTCAAAGGCGGTAATCAGCAGGCGGGCAGGCAAGGCGGTTCAACGGCTTTTATAAACAACCGAAACAACAAAGACGGCTGTGAGTGAGTCAACAACAATAAGAAAAACACGCATATAGACAAAAGATAGCAGGAAGAATATATAAACGTAGTGAGCGCAAGAGGGCGGGCGGTCAGAGTCCGCCGACTGCATGGAATGCACTTGAAACGAAAATAGAAAATTAAGTGCGAGGAGAAACAGCAGCGACATGGAAGCAATGCAAACAAAACTAAACGAATATACATATATACATAGGTATATACATGCATGTGCACGTATTGCATGTGTGTGTGCAGCATGCATGTAAAATGGCGGGAAAAACATTGCTGCGGAATGCAACAGTGCGGAGCATGATAAAAGTGCAGCGGAAGGGAAGCACGTGTTGCAAACAAGCGATAAACAGCGTCGAGGTAGACACAAAAACAAACACACACACACACGTGTTATGTTCCGACTTTTAGTCGTAATAACTTACATTGCGGCGATAAAAGACAGACAATGTTTGAACTCAATGGTGTAGCTGATAGAGAACAATATCTAATTATGGCACAGACGACACATTTTGCTGTTATTTTTACAAACAAATATTTAACTAAAATCACAAAGACGCAATTGTACGCGTAAATTGTTCGCTGACCATCTTTCGGCCAGGCGCTGGGACCTTGAAGACCTAGAGAATGTAAACGGTCGACACGTGCTCCAACACAAGCGCGCCTAGGTCTACAATTTTTCTAGTAGCTACTGTGATATATGCGTTGCTGCGAACGCTTATCATGTGACAAAATATGTGCCAGCGTATGCGGACGTCAGGGGCGCACAGTCAGCTGGACGCGCGAAACAAATTCAAATCTACAACGTCAGCTGGCTAGCGTTAGCTAGGTCTACAACTTAGAGCAAACTGAAACCGGCTGATCGTCGCGGTAATGTTGTCGTCAACGGCCTGCGTCAGTCATTTGCGCTGTAGACGCTCAAGCATTCATGGATATACGCAAATAGCAAAACCAACAAATGTGTGAATGACGCAAAAATATTTATCTGTATTTATTTTTTAGAAAATAATTTTATATTGCTTTTGCTGTTGTAAAAACTGAAAACAGCCAACAAAGCGCTGATAAATATTACAAATGGTTATTTTCTGATTTTTTGAGGGGCTCTGAATAGGAGGAAAAGCGCGCACAGTTAAATACATACATTATAAAATTGTTATCAATTTGCAATGTACATGTGTGTGTGTGTGAGTGTGAAGCGCAACAAATTCGTCTGCATGGTATGTCGTGCGTCAGCGCAGCCGTAAATGACGAAAGCGACAGCGAAGTCAAAAAAACTGAGTAAATGACAGTTATAAGTGGAAAGCGTCAAAGAAAAACAGAAATATTTTTTAAATTAAATTTATTAAAACTGATATACAATTTAGAGAGGCTTTTGAAAGGCGCAAAAACTTGTAGATATGTATATATGAATCAAGTATGCGCGCATGTGCCGTTAAGTTAATGCAATTTCTAGAAAGTAGAAAACAATATAAGAAAAAAGAAATAATTAAATGAATAAAAAAAAATAAATAAAAAAATATATATAAAAATGTAATAAAAAAATTTAAAAAAAGTAATAAAAAAAAATTTTAAAAAATAATAAATATATATAAAAATGTTAAAAAAAAAGGATAAAAATAAAAAAGTATAAATAAAAAATTAAAAGGTATCAAAATTTAAAAATATATACGCACATATGTATATAATAGTGAAAAAATTACAAAAAATTAAAAAAAAAATATTTAAAATTACAAAAAAATTTATATAACAAAAAAAAAATTTAAACAAAATATAAAAGATTATACATACATATATGTATATAATTGAAATTCAAGAGGTATAAAAAGAGTAAAAACGCAATGAATAATCCACTCTATGACGCACATGGCACCAAAAGACAACCGTGGCCAAACAAAAACAAAAAACTTGTTTGCTATTTTCGGCAAATTTTATGCATACTTCTTGTACTAACCTCAAACCATGGCTATTTTAAACCAGTTTCAAAATATTATTAAATTCCGCAATAAGGTTTGTAGTATGTATAGCATATATAAATAAGGGAGCATTTACATACACACATATGTATGTATTTTCAGAAAATTTTTGTGCACCGAAAATAAAGTTTTTGTATTTTTTTGGTATTTTGCACATTACTTCTATGAACACCAACAAAACGGCGACCAAAAAGTGTATGCGAAAAGCACGTGAGAGCAAGAGTAAGCGGCGTAGCGTAGCGCAATGGAGAAAGAAGGCAGAAGAATAAATACAGTACACTTAGTATATAAGTATGTATGCATATACTTACAAATGTACATAGTACATATATGTGTATATAAATCAAAAGTGAAATATCTATGTATGTAAGCACGCATTTTTATTATCAAGCAATAAAAAAAAAAGTCGATCATATATAAAAAGCTAACCAATTGTGTCACCAGTGTTGTTGTTCTTGTCGTTTTATTTCACTTTTTTTTTATTATTCCCTTTTTTTTAATTTTTTATTTTTAAAATTTTTATTTTTATTTTTGTGCCTACATGCTCGTCGGCACGTAAGCCAGCTGAACGCCGGCTCAACAGCAGCGCTATCATCCAACCCACAAGTCCAAGTTCGACCGAAACTATGATATAACCAACCAAAAAATGTACAACAAAAATACACCAGCATTCTAAACAAGTCAAAAAGCTGAATTGACAATTTTGATAAAATGCCGAATAGTTTGCGAAACTCAAATGAGAAAAAAAAAAATAGCAACAAACAAGAAAAACAAGTGAATTGCTAAGTACGCACACAGACTTTATGTACACGCGGGTGTTCAATGCGTAAGTAAAGGGTTGAATGAGGGTAAAAGTGTTACTTTCTAGGCATTTAATATATAAATAAATATTTTTATGTACGTCGATACGATGAATTTGTGCTCAGAACAGCATTAGTAATAAATTTAACGACAGTTTGTAGCAAATAATTTATAAAAATCATATTAGAAAATAACCATCCAATCGATGTATTGTTGTTTAATACATCAATGTGCCTAAATTCAATAAAAGTTGTAAGACTTTTGCTAAAAAATGCACTTTCTTTCACGAATTATGTTTTTGTAAAACCAAACTAAATTTTTTGTATCAAAAAAGTGTAAATTATTATATTAAAATTTGTATATTAAAATTAATAAAAATTACAAAAACTTGCATGTTTAGCAGTAAATAGTATACAACGATTCGATTAACTTCGGATTGTCACAAAATTATAACTATTTTCAAACGACTATACAACACAAACACCCTTTAAAAGCAACTTTCATAGATTTTTAATGCTCACCATGCACAAATATACATTTTTATATATATGTGTAGAAGTGTATGTATGGTATGTACTTCGAAAACTCATTAAAAATTTAAAAGTACAAACAAAACTTAAATCTAAGCGATGTAGTGCACATGAATTAAATCATAAAAAATTAAAATAATGGGTTACAGAGATAAGCAGAAGAGTGGGGAACGCTACCTAGTAAACTTATACTTACGTACTACGTAAGACGTGCAGTTAAAGTCAAGACCATGGAAAATTTCACATTTTCAGAGGTCAAAAAATAATTATTAAAATATAATAAAGCAACTTTATATAAAACTTTTACTACGGCTGCTACATTTTCTATTGCCAAATGAATTTTGCTGACTTCGAAACACTAATTACATACCGGAGTTGTTGCTAACACATAAAGTTTTGGGTATAAAAGAGTGAAAAGGGTAAATGTGTATAGTATTTGGGAAGTAAAACGATATGTTTTCTGTGAAGAAACCACAACAAAAACAAAAATAGATAATATGACAAAATGGGGACAACGAACCAGCAATGTATGAATGAACGCACATACCTACATAAATATATGTGCGTCTGTGGGGGCAAGTTAATGTAATAAAGACAACGTTGACACTTTGAAATTATCCAAAATAATGGCTACACTACATTTCAAATTAAAACTCCGTTAGAATAAATATTCAACAAAGCGTTGAGACACATTTTAAGTGTCTGTATGTATTTGATAGCGAAGTACTCAATTATAGCAAAGGTTAGCAGACGAAGGAGCCACTGATGAAGAGAGAAAGAGTTATCAACAACCAGCTAGTCAGCGAAATGACGGTAAATACTCACTGTTTGTTTGTATGTATTTATTCATGTATGTAAGTAGACTTGTGTGTAAAAGAAAACAAAACTTTTATCACCTACACGTGTCGCCATTTCAACAATTGTCATTGTAAGCACCGATATTTTCAGCAATCACCGGGCATAGAGTAAATGAGCGTGTGTGGAGGTATGTTTGGGTGGGTGATGGATTTTAGGTTATAAAAATAAAACACAAGGCAATGAATTGCAATTACTTATTTTTATGACCAAAACAACAAAACAACTTATTTTTATGAATGTACATTGTTTGTATATGTGTATGTATGTATGGAAGGTAATTATACATTACTACTAGTATGATTTACCATATAAATATGTACATATGGTATGTATTGTAGATTAGCTATTATATATCTATAGGAAAAATATTGCTAGAACCGGTTGCTGTGCTGACAATGCTGCCTGCACACATCATAAAAGATTCTTATGAAAATTATTGTATTTATAATTTAAAAAAAAAAACTTCGAATGCAACGCAGCTATAATAGCCTTCACAGGTGCATTTCTTAAAGCATAAAAGGGTATAAAAAAATCTTTACTTTGATTTTTGTCAGTTAGTTTGTATGGCAGCTACATACTATGTCTATGCTATAGTGGTTCCATATTGACGGGTCCGACAAGTGAATACTTTCTTAAGGAGAGAACTACATGTGCAAAACTTCCAAACGATATCTCAAAAACTGAGCGACTAGTGCGCGTATATACAGACAGATACGACACTTCGAGAAGGCTAAATCGACTTAGCTCGTTAAGCTAATCATTCATACATATATTGTACTTTCTAGGGTCTTCAACGTTTTCTTCTGTCCGCTACAAACTTCGTGACAAACTTAATTTACATTGTTCAGGGTATAAAATTAAAGATGCAACACAAAGCAATAATAAACCAGTATGGAAGACGTTGGCGATTTTGTAATAAGCGTGTGTAATTGTTGTAAAAAACAAAAACAATATTACAAAAACATGTAAATATGAATATAGTGTACATATAAATATATATACATACATACATGTGTTATGTATGTTAATTGCTCTGTTGCCTGCAGATTTGATAACAGTTTCGTACTTTGACATTGTTATTGTGCTCATACTTTCTATATATGTATGTATGTATTGCATAAGTACACATATGTATATTAAAATATATTTATAATATATAATAATATTATATCGTCGCTGTCACTTTCTTTGCGCACCAACACACCGACCATTGTCTTTTTGCCACCATTGTCACTTTTGCTGACACTTGCGTCGTTTATTGGTCTGTCGTCGCTGCTAACACCCGCTGACGGCCCAATACCCGCCTGTTATCCCGTCTATTTTTCTCGTGCTGCGTGTTGATTGAAGTAAACAAATTTATTTGTGCACAGTAATGGCAACAACAACAACAGTTTTATACATACATACAGATATGTATGGCAGCTATTATAACTTGTATTTATATATTTACATGTAGGTATGTACTTTTGTACGTGCATTCATGCTTGCTGGGCAGGTGGCAGTGCAAAAACAACACGCTATAGATTTTTATAGCGAAAATATCGCTATTAGAAAATCATATTGCTAACAAAAGGTGGCGGTCATTGAAAAACATATATATGCGTGTATTTATATGCTTATATAATATATATGTGTATATTACTAACATACATGCATATATGTATGTGTATATTAACGCATATGCACAAAATTCACATTAAGTGGTTAATAAATTACGCTTATGGGGAAACAGCTTGTTTAATAGGCACTTATTGCGTGTATGTGTGTGTGTGTGTGTCCTTTCTAATGCGATAAACAACAAAGAGGAAAAAAGTAAATATTTAAAACGAAATATCAAGTAAACACTCTCGTGATTGCTTATCGCAAAAACGCAATCGAAATTTGCACGATTAGCGACGTCAGCAGATAAGCGTCAGCGCAGCTGCTTTGACTGTCATTCAAATATTCAATAAATCGCATTGAAACAATGTTTTTGATGTTCAATTGATTGATAAAGCCTGCTTAGACTAACTGAATTATGCATGTTTGTATGTATGTATACATAACTGTCTGTCTGTATGTATGCTTCAAAATTAATCGAAACGTCAGCGTAAGTATCAAAACAAATACGAAAAGGTAGATCAGTCTAAAATTAGCACAAATCGCAAAAAAAAATACAAAAAAAAAAAACAAAACGATCAATGCCATAAAGCCTATGGTAATATAATAAAATATTAAAATGAAAATAGTTAAGCGTGTACAGCAGTCACAAAATAATCGTAAAACAGCGACTAATGACATGGACAGTCGTGTGAGTCGCGTGTTTTGTTCAGCGCTCGGCGGCTGCTCAGCAAACGCGCTGCTTAGCGCAGCTCATTATTTTAGCCAAAGATAAAGCTGAAACAACAATAATACTAGCTGCTGTTACAACAACAAAAAACTACTTTTAGAACAACGAAACTGTTGCTACAACAACAAAAACGGATATTACAACAAAGATGTGCTGTTATAACAACACAAACTGATATTGCAACATCAAAAATGATGTTACAACAACAAAATACTACTGCTACAGCAGCAAAAACCAGCTATTACAACAACAATAAAAAAACTGCTGTAACAACAACAATCAAAAACTACTGCTGCCTACTTTGATATTTTGATTTCATTTGTGGGCAAACGCGCGCATGAGTCGACGTCAATGGGGAAACCCAGCGCGGTCTTCCAAAGAGTGAAACGCTGAAGCTATCAAAAAAAAACAGCAACTTTTGATGAATTATGGAGCAGTAGGGGCAGTTGTGGCCACACATCGGGCAACTAAGCAGATAGAACTTTCTACCGATTAATGCGTGGCGATAAGAATTCGCACGTCACGTACGTAGCAGAAACGCCTTAAGTTATTGAAAAACTTTAGCGCTGGCATGTGATCAATCAGCAAGAAAAGAATTGCTGATAAAAGCACTAAAAAGGCGCCAAGCGTCATATAGAAATTTGGAGTATAAATAATCGATAATCGATTATCAGCGTGACTTATGTAAAAAAAAAAAGAACAAACATTTCTTAATAGTTGCAATTTCATTATTTATAGGTGTTTATTTGAATTTCACAATTAGTCACAAGTGTGAATAATTTGTGTGTGTGTGTGTTCAATGCGCGCTGCCGTGGCATAAAAGTTGCTGTGACGCTGCTAAGTCAGCTGGCTGGTAAAAGGCTTGTGGGCAAACATCTACGAGAAGGCCAACAACTTGTTAATGCCACACAATTACCAGCATACATACATATTTACATATACATATTCATATATTATACATTAACTAGTAAACAACTAAGCGCGCTAGCGATTACTTTTGCAGACAATAACTGAAATTAGCACTTGATCAGGTGTTAGCGGCTTGCTGTACGATCGGCTAATCAGTAGCGTCCATTAAAATAAGCGCTGGCCGATCGACTAACTATCGGGCCACATTCCACACTAATTGATACAACTAGCGCATATATTAATAAAATAATTCAGCAAATATATATATTTACAAATATGTAGATATGTATGTTATGTATGTAGTGGCAGCGCTTACATTTCAATTCCAATGGCAGTTGTTTGTTTGCACACTTTTTTTTCGTGTCAATTTTGGTATTTCATCTCGCTTTTTTAACAACAACGTGTTGTTGTAGACGTCGCAGTTGTTGTGCAGCGCCGATTAATGGCGCCAAGCGCAAATAAATAAGCTGTGTTGTAGATGGAAAAATTCCATTGAGAATATTATATTTTCGCTTATGTTTTTTTTGTTTTTGTCTTTTAAATTATTTGCTTTGCATTTTACTTTTTCGCTGCAGCTATAACTGTCAATCACACTGCAATTGACCGGCTGATAAGCTCACGAGCAATTTTTTGCATTAATTGATAATTGTAAATCACACTCTCTACACACGGGGATTGCAAATAATGCTTTCAAAAATAATTTATTTAACATTTGGAAAAATTTTATTTTTTGGAATCCTATTAATTTTTATTAACTACATATTTTTTTAATTTCTCGTCCTAAATACCGGATTTAAAAATAAGAAAAAAAATTGAATACCAAAAATCGGGCTAAAAATGTTGTTTTTCCGAATTGAAAAAAAAAAAAAATGTAAACCCCAAATTTAAAATTAACAAAACATAAAAATTTTGGTAAACATTTTGGTTACCTTTTGAAAAGGAAAGCTTATTTTTAATAAAATTTCAACTAAGTCAACACTCTCTGATTTATTTATATTTAATTGCTATTAATTTGAAAAAAAATTTAATTTTTAAATTTTAATCCCAAAATCAGAATTAAAAATTAAATATTTAATCCCAACATCTTGAATTAAAAATTATATTTTCAATACTAAAATTACAAGTAGAACTAAAAATTTCAAATTGAATTTTTTTCATCCCAATACTAATATTAAAAATTGAAAACCTAATTTCATTCCAAAATTTTTAATTAAAAAATTCGTAACGCTGTCCCCACACCTAATGTAATAAATGTAAGGAATAATTATTGCTGCACACTTACTTGCATATTCACGCTTCGTATTCACATCCACGGCGAGGTAAACATTGCTAAAGCTGCCCTCGCCAATGTATTTGCCGAAAATGTAGTCATTTGGCGATTTCTTTGGCGGCGTTACGGCGACATTCGTGGGCGATGTGGATGCACCGGCGGAGCCGATGTTGGCAGCAGATGCTACTGAGAGTGTTGAGGAGGCCGAGGCGGAGATATTGATGGCGGTGGTGGGTGGTGCATTGGTACTACCACCACCACCTGCTAGCGCATTGTTGTTGTATGTGCGTGGCAATTGCTGTTGTTGCTGGTGTTCGACGCTATCGTAGCCATTCTGTTGTAGCTGTTGGTGTTGTTGTTGTTGTTGCTGCTGTTGTTGATAACGACAACATGTCGGCGTATGTTCCGGCGTTGTAGCGCCGTTTTGCTGTGCAGCGGCCACAGCGGCGGCCAAAGGTGATGAATGTCCTACATAAGTTGCAAGTATGCGGAGGGGAGGGGTGAAGAAAAATTGCAAGTAAATAAAAGGTATATACATATACGAAGTATATTTTACGCCTACCATTTGTTAGATATTTACTGCTGCCATGATTTAAGCTGCCCACTGTCTCGGGTATGATTGCCGAGATGTTGCCGCAGCCGCATAGGCTGTTGCGCGACTGTGACTGTGTCATTTGTTGTTGTTGGTTTTGGCGTTGCGTCCAATGTGTCATTGCTGGCTGTTGTGTTGTTGTGGCTGTCGGCGCTGTTGCAATTGTTGTTGTTGTCTGTACTGTTGCTGCGGGTAGATGATGTGTGGGCGTCTGTGTGCTATGCTGATGCATGCGACTTGTTGCTGTGGTGGCCATTGTGGCGGCGACGACGGCGCTGTTGCTTGTATTTAGGGATAACTCTTTAAATTTCAATTCGGTGAAATTGCTCTCACTTAACGATACTGCGGTGGCCTTTTCTTTTGGCATCGCTGGCATCGTGCTGCACGGCGACAGGATCTGTTGCTGCTGTTGACCGTTTATCTGTGCGCGAGAAGAGAGCGAAAATGGAAATTTGTCAATAATTTATGTTCATTTCATAGAATTTTGTTAAAAATTTCACTTTATATAAATATTAACAATTTTGTAAAAAATTAAAATTTTATATATCTATATTAAAAGTTTTATAAAAATTAAAAATTTTATAAAAATTAAAAATTTTATAAAAATTAAAAGTTTTATAAAAATTAAAAATTTTATAAAAATTGAAAAGTTAAAAATATTAAAATTTTTATCAAAATTAAAAATTTTATATTATATATTAAAACTGCGAACATATTTTATGATTTATGTCAAATCAAAACAACTGTGGGACACGTGCTTAATGTGCGTGTTTTCAAAACCACTTCACGCATTCATCTAATACTATAAATATGCTTTTCTACACAACCCTCGCGACTGATTAATGAATGGTTGTCTCCCATTGATTGTGAAATTGTTTTGCGTTGTTGGGGAAACAAGTCTTCAAAACACTTTGCGGCCGAAAAACAGTCTACAACAAATATTTAGTGGAAATATCATAAAATTAATTTCATAGGCCTAAAAAAAAAAATTGTATTTGCTTTGATTATAAAATTCGCAGGCGAAAGAATTTACAAAGCAAAATGAAAGCTTAAAAACAAGTGTGTGATAGCGAAGCAAATAGAGATGATGATGAAATCAAGAAGATATTGATATTTTCAAAATCGCACAAGCAATAATATAGAGCAAAAGTAGGTGTAAATACAAATGTTACGAAAATGAAGTTAAAACGTAGAATGCAATAGGAAAAAAAAATACAAATAAAATCTTAAAGGTAAAAAAGAAGGAAATAAATAAAAAACAAGGTTAAAAAAATAATGGCAGAACGCCGAGCAGCAAATGCGAAGAAATACACCGTGCAGCTGATCAAGTGAGCTGGATTATGATTTGCGAAGCGAAGGAGGGCACAAAGGCCAAACAAAAGTGGGAACACTGAAACAAAATATCATAAATCATAAACGGGTTCAAGGATCTCCGCGCTAAGAGTTCATTTACCGCACGATTGGTCAGACTAAATGCTGGTTTAAACGTGTTGATATTGCTGAGAAGAAGAAGCATACCAAAAATCATGGGAATTGTACAACTTGATCGAGGAATGGAAAAGCGAGCATTGTATGAAAAAAAAAAGTGAAACAAAAAAAAATAAACGGCCGTTTGTTGTTAATTTGTAGGTAAACAGGTTTCTAATTATGCGCTGTGGGTGGATTATGGAAGAAAATAAACAGTTTTGACTTTTTTCGAAATTTTCATTGTTTTTATTTAACAAACGCTTTGCGTATATTTACGCATTTAATGGCGCTCCTATGGTTTCTTTCACGCACACAGAAAATGAAAGCATTATGCAATTTATCGTTTTTTGCGCTAATTTACAGCGAAAATTTTGTACAGAGAAATTCGCAAACAGTTATTTGTTAGCAACGCCCACTTTTTTTTTGTTATTATTTTTATTTTTGGAAGGGGCGACTACAGGCTTCAATTAGTGTTATATGTGTGGTAACCAACACCCACCACGTGCCTCCTTTCTTAGCGTTGGGCGCCATTTAAGCCAATTAGTGCTTGCTTTGTTGATATGTAAGTGCAATTGTTTTTATATAATTTGTGAATATATTTTGATTATAATAAGTAAAAACAAAAAAAAAAGTTTAAAAAAATTTAAAAAAAAATAAAAATAAATTATAAGAAATTGCGTAAAAAAATACTAAAAAAAAAAAAATTTTAAATTATTTTAAAAAATTATTAAAAAAAAAGAATTCAGAAAACAATCACATTTCTAAAAAAATAAAAGTTATTAGGAAACTGATAATTTAATTTATAGCACATTAGCTAATAAAACACCTGAATTGCACTTTGCTTAAGTTAGCACATACATATCCTTAGATTATGTATACTAAATATGTACGCACATACATACATACATATGCATATATATACATATATCTATATGCTTCGTACAGCGCGTTCCATTGGAATGTAGCCTGTCCGGATTTGGTATTTAATCTTCATTGATTACAAATCAATATACATAGTACATACAAACATTCTATATACATATGTACATACATACAAATATATATCGATATATATCGCACCATATATAAATACATAACTACATGCATGGATATATACTGATATAGTTGAGAGTTGAGTACTTATGTGCCTATGTAAAGATCATGATCTCATATTCAACAAAGTATACAAATATGTAGATAGTATCTGCTCTTATTCCTGTTGCCTGAGTCACAAGTAATTATGTATGTATGTGTTTTTCCTTCAATTGTGCCTTACGCTCATTCATCTCGATCGGCTCGGCTCTCAAGATGAACTTTTGAGTTGTGATCGAGGCAACATTCAAAAAACAAACACGATCATATGTCTGTATGTTTGTATATATGCATGAATGATCAGCTTGGCTCAGCTTATTTATTAGCCTAGTCATGCTCCAATCATGCTCATGACTTTCGAGCGCTAAGCGCAGTTCATTCTTTGTTCCGCTCGCTTTATTCATAGCCTATGATTAACTGTATAAGTTGCACTCAATTATATGATTGTGTATGTATGCGTGCATGGCAGGCCATTATTGATCGATGATCAAAGCAGAGCAGATCTGTGAATGCTGTTAATGAAAATGGGATCGTTATTAAATGTGTGTGTGTATAACATTTAATTGTGTATTGTGCATGTTAGATATTGTTTTTTACTTTAAGAAAAAATATTTTTGAAATTATTTATTTTCAAAAAAACAAAAAAAAAAAAAAAATCAAATATCTGCTGTAAAATGCTGATTCTCAAATATTCTCAAAGTTTTTATCACATTTTATATTAAATTTCCAAATTCTACAAAAAAATGCAAAAAATTTCTAAAACAATACTAAACACATTGCCTTACTCATTGTTCGCCAAGTGATCCGTGATCGGATTTCACTTTTCATTGTGAGCATGTGCACACACAGGCAGGCGATAATTCAATTTCCTTTTCAGTTGCTGATTTATTTTTAGCAATCATTTATATTTAACAAGAAAATATTTGAAAAATGCATAAACGCCGCAGACAAGTGGAAGTGCCAGACTATAACGTCAATGGCTGGCACGTTATGCATATCAATGTGTGTGCATATATGTATATTTGTTATATTGCAAATAAATGTATGTGCATGTTTCGTAAACATTTCAACACATGCGGAATTGAAAATTATTGCAGATCTGTGCAAAATGTAAATGAAAAATTTGAAAAAAAAACATGAGACGTGCTGCAGTACAGTGTTTAATGGAGACGAATTTATATTTAAAAATTTTGAAATATTTTTTTTATAAAAAATAAATATTTACGTTAAAATTTTGAGTTTATTTTACTTTAACTTTTAAATTTCTCTTTAACTTTTTGCTCAATTTATTTTGTTTAAATTTCACGTATACTACATTTTTCGCTATTTATTTATGTGAAATTAATTAATTTCTTTTTAATATTATTTTTATTTATTTTCTGCTGCGCTCTTGTAGCTTGTCCTCGGCGCTGTTTGTGCAACAGTTTTGAAAATTTTCCTACGCCAACACCTACACTGTCAGCAAAAGTCTCAACGCCCACAACAGAACAACTACAACACCAGCAAGAATAATGGTGTGGTGAATGTTTTTTCAACAAACAAACGATTGCAAACATTCAATTATTATTTGTTTTTTCTTGCTGCGAAATGTGCGGTATCAAAGATTAGGGTGTGCCGATATTTTCATTAAATAATTCTTTTTTTTTCATTCAAATTTATGAAACTTGCTGGTACAAATTTTAGAAACATTTCTATGCCTTAAATTTTAGAAAGCACTAGAATTCTAATTTAATGCAGCACAGCATTTGAATTAAATTATATAAAATATTTTGACTAAAATGCCCACCCTAATATCAGCTTATTCATTGATATTTAGGCATGTATGCAGATTTTTGCTTTTACACTTGTATTATATTTTGTTGGTAGAAAATTTATATTTGCTTGTTGTTAAGATGCTGTCGTTAATGTCTAGACTAAAATGACATTTAAATAAAATTAAAATTAATCTACTTTATGATTGTCGTGTGCGTTGCCGAAGTGTGAAACGAGCGCGATGCGTTGGCAATTAAATATTTTTCATAAAAAATAAATATAAATAAAAGCAGAAAGTCTAATATCAAAACAAAAGCCAATTGGCAACAAAATGGGGCAGGCGCAAATACATAGTATCTGTTTTTGTTAGTGATGGCGCTGAAATGAAGGGAGGACAATTTTAATTTGTATGCTATTGGTTTCAACATAAACTCAGCGATACTTTTTGTTGTATTTGTTTATTGTTAAATTAGCTAAAATTATTTTCTTGCAGTTACATATACATAATACATACATGAGTTATCAGCGCAGCATTTTTGTACAGGCTGATATGGTGTAATTTTAAGATATTTATAGATTATATCAGCGTTTAACTGATGCAAGCAGAAAACTGGATAAGGCAAGCTAACAAGTAAATACATGTGAAATAATTACACATATGTACATACTCACATAAAAATAGACAAGATTTTTCTTGTGAAAATTAAAACATAAAATAAACAGTATATTAATTAAACACCTACACACACACACACGCAAACACTGAAAACAATAAAGAACTGCTAATTTTGCATTGTTGGTTTTTCGCAAATTTTCGCATTTTCTATGAAATTTTGCACTGACGCGTAAATATGTATAGACATAAGTACTTGTGTGTGTGTGAATGTGTCTTTGTCTGTTTACATTATGCGCACACTGTGTGTTGGCTGACTTTAGCCTGCTTATCTCATAATAAATAAATTAGTGTGTATGTATGCCATGTATGTAGTTATACATAAGTATATTTCTTGTTGTGCTTTCTTTTTTTTATTTTTGCATATGTACCGGATACATTTGATTTAAGCGTACAGCTTAGCTTATTCCACGAAATTTTTCGAGCGACTGCAATGCGCAAAAAGTGCAAAAGACGCAAGCAAATTTTTGCGTATTTACCAAAGTTCAACTTGTTATATTTGTAAATGGCGACAAATTAAGGATACGTGAGCAATGTATACTATATAACACTCTGACGAACATAAGAAAGTGGCTTGTTATTTTAATTTTAAAATGCGTTGCAAAGCATTACACTCGGACGTATGTACATATGTATGTATATTAAGAATTTTTGACACATTTTTCTTTGTGTTATACTCGCGCGTGCCGTATTAATTAATAAGTTGTCTGATTGTTGCTTAAGAAATGTATTGCGTTTATGGCGCTGCTAATTAGCACTCAAAAAATAGCAATATTTACGCTACAATTGCATGCTGCACGTTTTTATGTGCAACAGCTAACAGCACGCCACCCACTTCCCAGGCAAACAAGCAGAGCAGAGCAAGGATTTTTCCCGAAGCAAAAAATTACCTGAAACAGCTGTTGGTGCAGCTTTTCCATTTATTTTATGCATAAACTCGTTTGTATTTATATATGTTGCTGATGTTGTTTTTTATTTGTTCAACTGCTTTTTGCTGTTTGTGATTATTGCTGCAACACGCAAAATACGAATTTTTATTAGAAGAAAGCCAAAGACGTTTGTTTTAATGAGCACGAAAAAACATATAAAGCAAAGCAATGGCAAAAACAAAGGAACTATAGCGAAATTGTCAGCCCGAGCGCATGAAAAAGTCGACGAGTGTATTATTTTAATACAAATGTACAATATTATATCTGAGTTTTCGAACACATAAACACAATATATACGCGCAGTTTAAATAATAACATTATAACAGAAAGAGCAATTAAAACGCGTAAAAAAGTTTATTTATTTAATAGCTGCGGTGGTGTTTCAGCTTTGCGAATTTACGGCGAGTAACTAGTAGTTTATTTCTTGCACAAACCGTTTGTGAGCTACAATTTTTTTTACTTTCACAGTTACTACAGTAAATTATAAATTGTCATTAAAAAACATTTAATGCACGAATTACTTGTATATTTTCATTTTTTTTTTATACAATAAAGCAGTTTGCTGTCATTATTATTTGTCACTGCAAACAAATGCAGAAATTTTTAGCTGCCATTAAATAATGAATTTCTTGCCGAATTTGATCAGCACAACCTTTGCGCTCACCACCGTGTTGTGCTGGCAAAATTTGTACGCACACTCGTTAGTCCACTACACACCGACTCATACATACACATACGCTCTCACCACACTCTCTCTGGCGGCGCTTGGCTTTTCGAGCGTTTAACAATGGTTTGTTGCTCCAATACATCACCACCCCCTCTAACCGACGATGCGCCCTAAAGTGAACCAAAACAAGCACTAACATTGACAACTTCACTACCTAATGTGCGCAAGCAACCCCAGAAAAGTCCCGGCATTATACGTACCCCCTCCCAACTTAACAACAGCAAACTGTATAAGTATTAGCTAAGCGTGAGAAGAGCGCTCACAAATACTAATATAAAACGCGGTTTATTGAAGCAACTACTACGCATTGCGTATGCCTAAATGATGGGTACTTTTTCGAGTGAGCCTCCGCTATGATATGATCTACTTTGTGGCGGAATGACGACACACGTTAATACAAGCATACGCAGCAGCTACGTAACAGCGTATGGTAGAATGTAATGACATAAGCGTATCGGGGGGTTGAGTGGGTGAGCGGGGTTGAGGTACACGCACAATAAACAAATACATAAAACAAGTTGATGTGAAGCTAGCTAGCTAGCAGCTGTTGATGGTGAAGCAGGCTGGGGTGAGTCTTTACACACGCAGTGTGTTAGTGCGATAAGCAGATACGTGCGTATATGCGATGGGGTACAAATTCCAAAACAATGCGACTCTGTCGAGTTGTAGCGAGTTGGCAGAAGAGAAGCCACAACACAAAGACAATATGGCACTATAAATGCCATGAACTAACGGCGGCAATTATGAATAGTGGCGTATAGCTGAAGGGTATAAAAGCGTAAAAGTATAAAGTGTATATAATTTGCAATAGTAAAAGCGTGTATTATATATATATATATATATATATTATACATATAAGTATAATATAGTTTGCGTGTGAATGTATTTGTGCATGACAAGCAAAAAATTCTTATGGTAATATCAGACGCTGGTGGTGAGGAATGAGTTAAAGAAGGGTACGTGTGTTTTGTTTTTTTGTTTTTTGATACAAATGAGCGGAGGTTATTTGTATTTTTATTATTTTTTAACTACAATTCGCTATTCGGCTAGAGTTTATCTGCTCTCTGTTTTTCAAGTTTCAAGTGCGTCAAATAAATATAAAAAAGCATGTGTATGTATGTATTTGGGCATATAAATGTATACTTCAAGATTTATAATTTGCGTAAATGCCTAAAACTACAGAGATCGTCAACAGAGCGGTAGGAATGTTAAGAAGAGAGGGGTGTATTTTATTTTATCTGCAATATGAATTTGATTATAAAATATTTAATTTTAAATTTAATAAATATTATCTTTTAAGAAGTTTTTATTAAATTACACTTTATTTAATTTAATTTTTTAATATTTAAATTTTAATAATTTAATTGGTTTTTAAATTTTTTGAATTATTTTTTACTTAAATTTTTATTAACTAAAAACTATAATTTATATAGGTTGTGCCTCAAACAAAACTTTGAAATTTTCCTTTATTATTTTTTTTGTAATACTTTAATTTAATGGTTTATTTTTTAATAAATTTTGTTTCTAATTTTAATCTTAGTAATCATTTATTATATTTTTTCAACATTTTTGTAAACATCTCACTTTAATTTAAGTGTTTAATGTTTTACTTTAAAATTTTTTATTCACTTTTGTTTCCTATTTTATATAATATTAATTTTATTAATAATTCGTTTTATTTTTTTTAGCTCTTTAGTAAAAACTTCGAAATTATGAATATATGTATGTATATTTTATTTTTTAATAATTTTTGTCATCATACCAATTTTTTGTTAAATTATAATCATAAATCAATATATTTTTTACACACATACATTTTAATTGGGGAAAATTTTAATTAACATTAAACTTGTAGCATCGGTAATAATCACATTTATGGTGAAATTGAAACCTCACTATTTACATTTATTAAGTCTTATGAATATTTATAATATGTTGTTGCTGTTGTAGCGTCAGAATTCTGCCGAGTTTACAGACCTTGGCCGGATAAAATCCGGGTCCGTTTCGGTTACGTAGACCCGACTGTTGTGGGAACGGACGAGTTATCATATCATGATTAACACTAAAAACTGTTACATGTTTCAAACACTTTTTGGAAGGAATTTTTCGCTATTATTATTATTATTATTTAAGATTTTTTTTACACATTGTTTACTTATTATTTATTGCTAATATTATTATTTTATAATATATGACATTTATGGTTTATAAAACACTCTTCAAATCCTGCAACCCCCGTCACCTAACGAATTTTTGTGAAAATGCTTAATGGTACATTTTTTAGCTTTTTTCTTTGCCTCTAAAAGCGATTAGCTAACGCAATGTTATGCCATCGAGACGACTGACTAACGCCGCTATACATTTTCAAGTTTACCGCAGTCGCCCAAGGAAGCGCCATTGAGCGTGTGTGTGGCGCACACACAGTAAATAGCAAAACAACAAACAGAAAACAAGCGAAAGAATCAATAACAAACAAAAACAAATTTTTTTGCAAAAATCACCTTTTGTCTTAGACGCGGTCCGCAAAAATTGAATAAGTCCGAAGAACACACAAAAAAAAAATACAAAAATAAATTGAACACACACACACACACTTAGATATCTGTTTCGAAAACCACTGTTAGCACAATTTTTTTCACATTGAATTAATGCTTTTTCATGTGCTGCTACTACAATTTTAAATTAATTATAGACGTTTATATTTCTTTTAATTGAACTACATATTTTTTTTAATCTCACTACAATTTTTTACTGTAACATTTTTTAGCACCTTTCAGCAATTCTTTTTACAATAATTTACATATACAGTAAGTTTAACTAGATATATTATACACAATTTCTTATAATTTTTTGCTCTCTTCAATTATATATGTATATTTTTTTTCAGCACTGTTCTGTTAATATTTGGCCGTGCAGCTTTCTGTTAATTCAGAAAGACGTCCGTCTCGACAAAAGCGCCACAGAAACTAATCAAGAATGAAAAAATTATAACATTCGTAACCGAGTAAACGAGCGCGTTTCGCTGGCGCGACCTGCAGAAGCTGTGCGAGATTGGCAGAATGGGGCAATTCCTAAAGCAAATCTCTCTGCTGTGTTGGTGCTATTAAACAAAAAGCTAAGCGCTTACGAACGAAAACTTATACAAACATACATACGCTTATGTATATGAAGCATACGCGAGTGGCGCTCACTGAAAAAGCGCTCCACATTATCACGTATGTATGTATATGTACACTTCGGCTGCGCTCAATCTTGTGGCGCCCCACACATATACATGCGCACCGAGGGCGCATACATAGGCGAAGAGTCAACAAAATAGCTGTTGACGACGATGTTACGACGACAACAAAAAACAGCCATAGGCGAGGAATTTGTAATAGGTGTACAAGGCGAGCAACTATTGAGCGAGCAAGTCATGACGTACGAACAACTCGTAGCAAAATCAAACAAAAAAAAAATCAATCTTGAAATCTTGTTCTCTCACAAAAGCTGCGAGCAGAGTGAGCTTAAATGCAGCATAAATAGTTTTTCGTATAAAATTTATACGTAAATACTTGTAGTTTAGGAAAATAACTTGCTATTTTTATTATTTATTTATTACATTTTTATTTTATTTGGAGCGCTAGAAGAGGTTGTTGTTGAGAGGTCGCGCATATCGGCTGAAAAAACGACTGCTTTACGGTTGTTTCTCAATGAATTTCGACATTATTTTGTGTGAGCGCTGAGCAGCTAAGCGCTCCACTAAAGGTAGTCAGAGAGAGTATGCGCGCGCCCGAGAGCATACTAGGTCGCACGATTGGATTGCGCCACCACCAAAACGCTCAATGGCAGCTACAATTTACTAGCTACACTTGTTTTGAAGTTGTTGAGCGTGGAATGTCGATTTTATGCGATTACATACGTATTATCAAACATAATTACAAGTATTGCCCTATGTATGTGTGTAGGGTATTTATGTGTGTGTGTGTGTGTGGCTAGGCAGGCGGGTTGGGTGGTATTGCAGGCAAAACTGTTTGGTGAGCTATCTGTTGGAGCGCTTGCTTGTTGGTGAGTAGATATGTATTTGTATATATGTGTGTGTGTGTTAGTGTGCGTGTGCGAAGGTGCGCTGCCTTTCAAATTGTGCGCCTGCGAATATCTGTTTTTCTTTTCGTTTTGAACACACATTTTTGCTTTCGATTTTTTGTTTTCCTTTTTTTTGCTGTTGCTTTCAATTAACCTTCTCGAAAATTGCAACCCGCAACAACAATAACAACAATTTAGCCAAGAAAACACACACATAAAAACAAAGCAAATAACAGAGGAAGATAGCATGACGTTACAGCAGTCAAATAGCCTCAAAGCTGTTTACGGAAACGGAAAAGCAACGCATATACAAAAAAAAAAGAGCACACGCACACACAAATATATTTATGTAATGCCTGCATTACGTTTGTGGCACGAAAATGGAGCATGATTAATTTTCGTACGCACTGTGTGTTTGTATGTGCATGGTTGTTGTCATTGCATGAACTGTTGCCGCTTTTTAAGTGCCACCAATGAGCGCAATCAAAACAAGACTGTACAAAGCGCGCTCCAACAACCAAGAGCGATGTAATAAAAATGCAAGCAAAACAAAACATAAAAATAACAACAACAAAAACAAAGAGCAGAAAAACAAAAACACACAGACACAGCCACACACACACTCCGAAGCCACTTGTGCATTTCGACGCTGTGGGAACTAAACAATAAACTGGCGGCAATCAGACATCTGCAATGCCATGCAAAAGTACAAGCGAAAACACACACATACATTAGCATATGCTTGCAGTCAGACACTTTTGTATGCAAAACAAGAGTGTTTACATATTTATGCATGTGTGTGTATGCATGTAAAGAGAGCATTGAGACATTGAGGCCAATCAAGCCTCAACAAGAAAGGGGAATCTTCTAGGCCCACAAGTAGGTGTGTGTCTGTGCTTGTAAATATGTTTGCTGTCTGCCAGTGAAATACTAGTACCTTCTACCTATCTACATATATAACTATGCGCAGCAGTTTACATTGAGGCGAAATAGTGCTGAGACTAGCAATCAGGAAGTGAAAACTGTAAAACGACACCCCGAGCGTTCGACGAAAAGAGGCCAAGCGAACGCGAGTCGTGGAGCAGTGAGTGACGTCGCCACTTAAATGAATTTAACTGAGCAAGAACGGACGACAATGTGGCGTTACAGGCAGGTACATACGCGTGTATCTATATGTAAATATGTATTTATGTAAATGTGTATGTAAAGTATAGACTGAAGGATGATTTGACTATTTTTGCCGTGAATTTTTTTTTATTCTGTAAAACGAAACCTTGTTGAGCGTACCGCTACTTGCGCGCTGGCACCCCAAAAGCAGAAGCGCCAATCAGCAGGGCGTGGAAAATGTGATAATAATTGTAATAGAATATTAAATAAGGTGTGTAAAGAGGAGATGATATTAAACATGTATATATAATACGGATCCAAAAAATATACTTTCAAGTCTCAAAATTCAAAATATCGGTTTGGAAAAAGAAATTTTAAACTAAAAAAAATTGCCGACTCCATTTCTATGGACACCACTGTATGTGAACTGAAGCAACAGCAATAAATTACAACATACGAAGAATGAAGCCACCAGCAAACAGCATAGTAGATATGCACAGACAAACAGAAGACGTATGGGCGCGACAAGCGAATAAGCGGAAAAGTAGAATTTCAAAATAAAAAAAATTACAAAAAAAAAATAAAAAATTCGTTCGCCGTCAAAACAAAAAGTAGCCAAAGCACTTTTGATATAGAGAAACAGAAACCGAAATTAAATCAACTGAAACCGAAACTAGGCTGAGGCAACAACAACAAGAACAGTAATAAAAAAACAGCAATAATAACAAAAAACACAACAATGACAACAACAATAAAAATAGTAATAAAAACAAAAGTAACAAAAGCAGCAGCGGTGGCAAACAACATAAGGCAAGAAAAACACTAACAACAACAAAAATACGACATTGAATAGCAGTAAAAGCTTAACAAAGCAACGCATAGCGAGGCGATGCGACAGATAAACAGGCAGACACTGAGATATGCAGTATATACAAAGAAATGCAGATAAGAGCAGAAAGTTGTTACAAAACAAAAACAAAAAATATATACACAAAAGCAGCCAGGGGAGGCCCAAGAGTTGGCTGAAAAGTCGTACGCGACGTCAGCGACGACGACGACGACGAATCAAGTGACAGCGCGGGCTGTGGTGCAAGCGACGACAATTTGTTTTGCTTGTGACAAGATTATGCATTGCATTGGCTACAACAACAACAGCTGGTGGCAGTGTGTTGTAATTGTTGGCTGCCATGTAACGCATTGTTGCAGTTGTTGCCACTGCCACACATGCGACGTGTGTATCTTCTTTCTCGTGATTGTTATTGTTGCATTGGCTGCAGTTTACATTCGCCGCTGTGGTTGTTGTTGCAGTAGTCGTTGTCGTCGTCATTGACGGCTGCCACACAAGTCAACGGGGCGCGGCGAGTACTAAAATGAAAACGAGGCTGAAAGCAGAAAACATTGTAAAGGGGCCTCGAGTTTTTGTGTAAGCGCTTACATGAGTGTGGCTGTGTGTGCGTGTGTGCATATTACATTTGCTACAGTCGCGTGAAGGAGAAGGCAACAGATGCGAAGCACAGAACAAAACAGAGAATTGTAAATTTTCCATAGTTTTACAACACGCACACACACAACTGCATATACATATATATTTATACGAGCGAGTGGTGGCAACAACAAAAATAAACAATAACAAGCTATAAAATGCAGTGGCAGCATGAAAAAAAGCAGCAAAACAAGAATAAATAAACACGAGGTAATGGAAAACTAGCGCGTGTGTCTCTGCTATTACTTCTTCCTCTATGTATGTATGTATGTGAAGTAGACGAAAGGGAGTGAAACGCGCAAAGCGGAATTTGAAAAAAAAGGGCAGCCATAAATTATGTAGGTACTTGCGGCGCAGACGCCATTAAAATATGTAATAAAAACCAATAAATGTTGTAGACAACACACAAGTACTTGCAACAGCCGACTCAAGTGTGTACCACAGCGGCGGCAATAAACGGAGCGAACGGAAGTGCGCCAAGAGATAGAGAAAACTTCTATAAAGGAAATCATGTTACTTCCTATTTTATTGTGCCACTAGCAGGCATACACACACACATACATACATATGCACATACAAATATATAGATTATATACTATATGTGTGTGGTGTGAGTGTGCTAGTGTTTGTGTACATTTTGCGCTTGAACGCTGGCAGTTACCTAGAGCGAATTTAGTTAACAAAACAGAAATTGACATTAAAAGGATAAAGGGAAATTCAGGTGTCTATCATAAACAAACCGTTAAGTTGCGCCAAATGGCGTTAGGGTGGGTTTCGCGCGCACACACACACAAGCAAATGGAGTTTGGGGTGGTAAAGGCAGAGGAGTAATATTACGAAAAGTATTTTTTTAATTTATTTTATATGGAATAAAAAATTAAATTTTTTTTTTTTACAAAAAATTAACAATTATTATACATATAAACCCTTTGAAAAAACTGTTAACAAACTAGTTATGTTTTAAAATACTTCTAAAAGAATTTTTATAAATTTAAAATTAAAACTATTTACATAAACACAATATTTTCGGAGAAGATAAGAGAAAATGTCACTCTGTTGCTGGCAAGATAGATAGTTAAACTATTGCTAACTGTACCTATTTTATATATGGATATAGTGTAAACTAATTGTAATAAGAGAAATGTTTTGAGATTGTTTGTTATTTTCTTAAATGATGAACTACTTAAAATCTGTGACTTTCAAAAATATTGACATACTTAAAATTTTACGCTTTTAAAAAAATTATTTTTTATCAGACCAAAAAAATTCTTTTTTTATTTTTTTAATTCAACGCAATTTTCAGTATAATTCAACATAACCTAATATAGTTGTGCTGTAAATACTATATAAAAGATAAATACTATATAATTTAGATGCCAATATTTTAATAGTAAATCAAAAAAATATTCAAAAATATCTAAACAAAATATTTTCAGTCTAATATTTATTCCAAAAAAATTTATCTCCTTTAAAGCAAATAAAAAAAAACTGCCAAAATTAATAAAAACCAAAATACATATGTATATTCGGTCTCATACTTATAAAAAAAATAGTATTCTGTATAGTAAATACAAACTAAATAAAATAATATTTTCAGGCTAATATTTATTGTAAATAAAATTAATCTACTTTAAGGCAAAAAAAAAAAAAATAAATTTAAAAAATTTTCAAAATTACTATAAAAAAAAGAAAAAATAAATATAGTTAAAAATTTTAGATTTTATTTTCGGTCTAACTTATATTCCAAACATTAACCCACTTTAAAAACAACGATTTCGAATTTGTTTTAGCTCAGTACCCTGCCATTGTCATTATATGCTGTACTGTATGGCTTAATATCGAATTCTACGTGGAAATCTTGCGTATACAAATAAATATTGTTTATATACAAATATTATAAACATTAAAAATGAGAAATTCCAACAACATACCAACACGACATACAAACAAACGCAGTTAAGTGAAAGGCGGAAAGAGCTGAAAGTAAAAGAGGAACTCCAAGCCAAATAGCCAAGTGAAAATAAACAATATGGCAGGCGGTAGGCAGCGGAGCGAGCGACAAACGGCAAAAATATGTATAAGAAACTGGTAAGGCAATCTAAGCTGGAGCAAAACAACTGGAAAGTCAGCGTCAATGCCACAACACAAACAATAATAAAGCAAAATTTCACAATTCACAACGTCAAAACAAAAAACAAGAGAAGGAGCAGAAATAAAGCAAAAAAAATGCAGGAGATAAAAATAAAGAGTTTAAAATTAAAAACAACAAAGAAACATATAAAAGAAAAAAAATAAACACAACAAAAAATATAACAAAAATAAAAATAAAAGGAAAACAAAAGATAAAAATTAAACAAATACAGTTAAAGATAAATGCAAGTTAAAAAGTAAAAAATTTAAATTAATAACAAAAAATAAAGGAAAAACCAAAATTAAAACAATGCCAAAAATATATTAAAACCATACAAAAAAAATTAAAATATTTTATTATTATTATATATTTGCTTTTATTTTTGCATATTTATTGTGAGATTTGCTTTTTGAATTGCCTTAATTATGTGTCGCCTAAAGATATGCGTGCTGTTGCTGCATTTTTGTAAACCGACACACACATGTTTATAAAAATTTCAATCAGGCTCTGCTTGTTTGTTTTTGTTGTTTTTCGCCAACCAACTACATTTACATTAATAACGCATTCCTTTTTGTGGCGATTATTATTTTTTATTTATTATCTTTTTTGCAACATTTTCGCATTTTGTTTTGACTGCAGCGAAATTGCTTTACGAGCTTCTTTCGCGCCAGCAGCAGGCAAACGAAACAGTTTGCAAACAACAAAATAAACGGCGAAGAAAGAAAAAATCAAAAGTCCAAACGACCGACCGACCGACCGACCGATACACAGACAAACAGGCAGTAAGTCAGTCTGTAAGTCCGACCGTACCTCTGTTTGTTGTGACTGTCCAAAAGTCGCTGGCGCTGACGCTGGCGATGACGACGACGACAATGACCTGGATTTATGTGTATGCATGTTGTTGTTATTATTATTGTGTTTTTTACAGTTACTGTTGTTATTATTATTGTTGCTGCTTACACTGCAGCATTCGTGGAATTTCTTTTGGCCGTTGTTCACACAAACACACACACAAACAAACACAAGTAAGCAGCATAATCTTTATTTTGTTATTATTTTTGTGTATCCTTTATTATTGTTGTTTACCGAATATGTTGCTGTTTTTAGTTATCTTTTCGAAAAAAGTAAGATACCAAAACCAAAATGTAGAAAAACAAAGCAACTGTAAATGATTACATTGTAGCAGCTGCGCGCTGCTCTCCCTTCTCTTTATGCGCTGCACTTTACCAGAAAACAGAACGAATAGCATACAGCGAGATATAGAAGAAATATTGAGGTGAGTAAATATTTTACTATCATAAAAAAAAATTGAAAAATATGTTTTTTTAGGAACTTTTGGTAATATCGAAATTTTTCGAATATATAAATTTTTTAAATTACAATAAAACAAAAAAAAACGCCAACGTATTTTATATCAAAATCTAGCTGTATTTAATTAATATAATTGTTATGGAAGATTTCATCACTAAATTTACTAAAAACCTACTTATAAAATTATGGGTCATAATTAGTTATGCATTTTATTATCACAAACAATATTGATGCTGCTCGCATTACAATAAACCATAATGTCCGAGTGTAAATAGTACTGGAACATTTTTATGCATAGTCAGAATTCCAACTAAGCAAAGAGCAATTGTTATTCACAAACGAAAGAACAATTTGTTACCATTTTAATTTTTTTTTAAGTTTTCAAACTATTTTTATAATATTTATAATAAAGTTATATTTTTTAAAATTATAAATTAATTCGAATTGTTAAATTTTATTTAATGCTATTATTGGTATTTATTATTGTATTTTTTTGAACATTATTATTTTTATTTTGCATTTTTAACCGATATTTTTTTCTAATTTATTCTGATATGGAATATTATATTCTATTAGTTAATATTTCTTGCGCTTGTTATTATTATTGTTTTTTGTAAAATATTGTATTTTTTTTATTTTGAAACATTTTTAATATTATTTCGCATTTTTAAGCCGATTTTTATTTTGAAATTAATTTTTATTTATTTATTTTATTTTGTCTAATTTATTCTGATATCGATTATTTATTAATATCAAAAATATTATATAATGATTATAAATATTAATAATATAATATATATGAGATATAATTTTTAAAATAAGAATCCCTTACATATGCAGCAGTGCCGCTTAAAATATTTTTTGTTCACAATTTTTTATATGAAAAAAGAAAAGCGCTTCCATTTTAGGTATCTATAATAATATCTCCATCCATAATCTATTGGAAAATAATTTAAAATCTTGCTAAATTCAGTGAAAAAATAACGCAAATTTCGGAACAATATTCTTTCCTCATAAATATTGAAGTGGTTTCTCTTATTAACTATAATTTTTGAAACCAACATAATTTAATTTTTACTTTTTCTGTTTTTTGTAAACCACAATTTACACAAAAGTTTTTAAAAAGAAGTAGAACAATCAAAACAAAACTGAAAAGTATAATTGTGCACATAAAAAGCGAAGTGATATCTATATATAATTTTTATAACATTCATTTTTAAAACCAACAAAAATTTTAATAATTTTCTACTTTTGCTATAAATTAAAATTTACAGCAATTGATTAGGATAGGAAAATTGCTTACGTCTTATATATTTATGTACATTTTGCCCAAGTTTATTTACCTTTATAGACTTCAGGCGACGCACAACAAAATTGTTGATTTTATTCGACCAACTTTTACATTTCATTGGGGAGGCTGTTTTCATTTGGAAACCAAATGCAATAACTTAAAAAAAAAATTGAAAAATGCACTTCAAAGAACTACAATAAAAACTGGCATATTCACGGCCATTTGCAGAACTTTTATATTTTTATATAATTGCTTGATTTGAGTTGCCACAATTTTCATTTGAAATTGCAATTTGAAAACTAAAAATATTTACTCTGCGCGCAATTTTGCAATTTTACCTTAAACATTTGTTGCACCACACTTTGTTATTTGCAAATATTCACGGGCTATCAGCTTGCAGCTTTGTGTTTTGCTTTTTAGTGCACTGTGTTAAACTTGCCGAATTTGCAAAAATTTATATTTTTGCAATTATTTTGCGAACGCACCTTTATATTTGTCAAAATCGATATTTTTTAGAGATAAGCACTTGTTTGTTGATTATTTGAAAAATCATATATGCTTATACTTCTTATACAGTGTTTTTAGGTTTTGTTTTGCTTTGCTACTCAACACTGCACTGCTTTACTTAAATACGGTGAAATTTTACTTGTTAATAATACTGTTTCACAATTTTTGGCTAAATATGCTTTAAATCTTTAATTATTTAGCTCTTACAAGCTTTTAGCTTTATTTTGTTTTATTATTTCACTTTTTTGCTGCTTTTTCAAATATATAACTGTTTGGCGCCCCAATTTACAAGTAGCGCACACTACGCGTTTAACTAATTTTCAAAAGCGTCCAAACCGATCAAAGTTTAAAAATAAACTGTCGTTACATTAATGCTGACAGTGCCAGCGAACTGCATCGCTGTCAATGTTTCAACAAATCTCACACTGTTCCTATATGCCATACTATATGCTTTGCGCCACGAGCGCAGTGGAACGAAAATGAATCGTTTTGTGTTTCCCCTTGTGAGTGGAGCGCCAAATAGCAGTGAAGATTGCTGAAAAAGCCACTGCTAGGTTTTCCCCGCTCACAGCTCACAACAAAACACACGAACGCTGCCGTGTGTAACTTCGTACGTCGAACGACTCTCTGTTTTGCTTTTTTCGTTGCTGTTTCACTTGTTTTTCGGCGCAAACATAGCATTGACGCTGCAAGTCCAAGAGTGTACTCAAATGAAAACACAGCTAGCTAAATTTGTTGCTGTATGTTTGTATGTACATACAGATGTGTGTTGATTGCTGCCTGTAATTCGAAAGGAATTTCAATAATGCTGCTACGTTGAGGAAATGGTGTCGTCGCCGCTGCATATATTCACAGCACACACCATCTCTCTGTTGCTTCCTCTCTCACTCTCGCATGCGCGCGCTAGCTCTCATACTGTTGGCATTCTTTCGCTGCTTTATCATTGCAATTGCATTGTGTCGTTCGCGCGCCAGTTTTTCTACGTTCACTTGCAATCCACAGTTTATTCCTTGAATTTCTCCGTTATTTGCATTGCATTAGCGCTGGCAGGAGCCAGCGTACCACCCAAAACCGAAAACCAAATCGACTGCGTTCGTTCAACTCGCATTGTTGTTTGTTGCTATTGTTGCTTTGCAGTTGGAAAAATACATATATGCACACATTTGTAGGTTGGTATGTCTGTGTGTATGCTCGTTTTGACTTCGTTTTCCTTTGCTGCAGCGCTTCGCTGTTTTGTTTTGCTGTTCTGTTTTTGTTTTCGATCAGGTTGCTGCTTTCTGTTTTGCTGCTTGATTACAAGCGGAAGTTGAGCGTAAAGATTTGCGTGGATGTGGCGCTCGGGTTTCTTGTTACACACGTAAATATGTTTGTATTTAACTAAGTATATAGCAGCAACAACAAATGCAGCACCGCCA